ACAGTGAGAATTTGTGCTCCCCGTGGGCAGTTCTGGGCTCAGCATGTGCATATCCCATGTGTGCACATGCACAGGCTGTATCTTCTGAGAGCAGGTTTCTGGTTTTACTTTTTGTCCAGGTGAGAGGCAAATCTGTCTTAGCTGGGACAACTGAGAACTGTGACGTGGTTGAGAAGTGGGACTTGGAAGGCAGATGTAAAAGAGATACTTTCTGAAAGCTTTACCCACATCCAAGAAAATATTCCTAGAACAGGGGTTCCCAAACTTTTTGACATGGGGACCAGTAAATCCATTCACAAACTTTTGGAGGACTGGTAATATATATTTGCATATTCATTAATCAAATGATGAATATTCAAATAAGTTGTTTCTGGTCCTCCCAAAACCCCCAGTGCCAGCTTTAGCAAAGCTTTTGATATGGACACCCACAATATTCTTGCCAGCAAGTTAAGGAATATGGATTGGATAAATGGACTGTAAGACAGACAGAAAGCTGGTTAGACCAGGGTTTCCCAAACTCTTTACTTTCGTTGGAACCCTTTTTTTTCAGTACTGCTTTTTGCAGCCCAAAAATATAAACACACAAAAAACAAACTGAGAAAATACCAGATATATAACATGTCTGGTATTTTCTCATTAGGTAAGTTGTATTATTACTAGATGTATCAGTTTGTAGTTTCGAACTGCCTGGCTGGTAAATGTGCTCAGGCTGCATGAGTGTGTCTACCAGCCAGACAGTTCGCAACTACTCGAGGGGTGTGTGTGTGCGGGGGACAATAGAATCCCCAGGCCAGACTAACTCATCCTTTGTGCTTGGTAGAGATGAGGGGGGAACGGGGGCAGCGCCCCAAGATCTACATATGGCCGGGTCAGTCCCACTCACTGCAGGCCGATTCATTCCTCCCCCCTGCTCCCCCCACTGCGCCTCTGGCCAGCCCCACATCCCCCAACCCCGTCCCGGGCAGCCAGTTCTCCTCCGCTTCTCCTTCTCCTCCTAATCTCCCTTGTCTAGCCCTCCTTCCAGCGGCTGCTTCTCCCACCCCCTCCACATCTTCCCCGGCCAGCTCCCTGCCCCCAACCTCGCATCCCCCGGCAGCCCTGCTTCCACCGGCCCCCCAATCTCCCCAGCCTGCCCCAATTTCCCCATCCAGTGCTGCTTCCGGTGGCCAGCTCTCCCCTCCTCCTCCTCACCCCAGAATCCCCTGGCACCTGCACCTTCCCTTAGCCCTGCACCCTCCTGGTGCCTCCCCCTTCCCTTACTGCCCCTGTCCCCTTTGCCCTCTTTTTCCCTAATACCCACCCCCTCAGCACTTTCTGCCCCGTCCCCTCCTGCCCCTCTGTGCCCTCACACATGACTTGCTCCATCCTGGCCTTCCTCATGCCTACCCCTTCTTTCAAGCCTTCCCCCAGCACCCCCTCCTCCAGCCCCTAATGCCCTTCCCCTCTCCTCTCCCAGCATCACCCTGTCCCCCCTCCCACCCTTTCCCTCATTGTCTGCACCTGGCCCCCTGGTATTTGTCTGTCCTGTACCCTGTCCCTTGGTGCCTTCCCCTCCCAAGCCCCTTCTCCTTCCACCCCTCGCCCCCGCCTCGCCGCCCAAGCCCATTTCCTACCTTCTGCCTTCCACATTGCGGGGCCGGAGGCCGCACTCAGGTCCTGGAGGCTGAACCCGGAGCCAGCGTGGCCCCGCCACGTGCCGCCGAAGAGTTTTAAAATCACGGTACCGAGCCGCGGCCCATAGTTTGGGAAATGCTATTCTAGAACATTGTTCCTGGAAATTTTCATAGTAGTCGTCTTTGTATGTATCTCATTTTTTCCTACAGTGCCTTGGCTGTAGTATCTCCATTGTGTCATACTGAAGAGTAAATTTGGTCTTCCTTGCAGTTGGTCTAATTTTTGTCCAACCTGCAGACTGTGCTCTCTGGTTTAAAAAAAAAAACAAAACAAAAAAAACTCATTCTAGTAAATCCCTGTGCTTCTTGTTAGGCAAGCTTCAAGAATTGGAAAAATAGTAAGTTAGTTTACTCCATTATCTGCCAGTGTTTCTTAATTTTTGATCGTCTCATCGTGCGCATTAGGATAATTGCGGTCTTTTTGAGTGCAACATTATAAACTCAATACCATTAATTTTAGGATGTGTTTGTATGTACAAGCCATTACCTTTGTTAAGATTATCTCAGGCATGTAAACTATTTTTAAAAATTCCCATTCAACTTTTAAAATTGTGGCCTGATACGATTGCTGGCTGGCAAAAATGTTAAACATTGGCTTTCTTTATTCTCCCTGCTGCTTAGGATCATAACCACAGTGTTCTCCCATTTTAAAATCCATTTAACTATTATCCAGGTAATTTTTTTCAAACGTGTGTGTCACCATGACATCCATTGGGATTTACCCTTCATAGTATACTATTGGTGGGTCAATTTAAGGTCAGATGACCTAGGAGGAAAAGGGGGTTACATTTTTAAAAAGGAGAGAGATTTTTTAAATCTGTTTCCCCTTCTTCTTTTCGCAAACTCTTCATAAAATTTCCTCTTTGCTCAAACTCTTCATGAAACTTCACCTTTGAGCAGAGGATAAGCCTGAAGAACTTCATTCCAAAAGGCAATATTTGGGAAAAGTTATGAAAATGGGTGTATCATAATGATAGCAGTTGGTGCCAAATGACTGCTAGTGCAATCTTGTCTAATGGCAAAACATTCCATGTATGGAAGTTTGCCCATTTGTGAATGTATCTTCTTGATGGCGGTGCACAGTACATGCCGACAGAGCTGTCTGCAAATGTAAGGGCAGTCTTCTGTGTTCCACATTAGCTCGTGTCTGAGTTTGGAGGCAGATTTCGGTCACATAGAGCTGACCGACTTCTCTGCATACCTGGCTGCTGCAGCTTTTCCCACTCTGCAGCAGTTCAACCATTCATCTGTCATGTCATTAGCAATTTCCACTGATGGGAGCCTTGTTGGACAGAGGGGTGTCCTGTGTGGGCTTGTATCTGCTTTAAAAAACTCTGGCTTGGAGTCTCTCTGATGTGCATATGAGCATTTTTGGTTTCCCATGGAACACATTCTTCAATAATGTTATTACTTTACATCTTTCTCTTATTTCTGCTTAAAGAAAAGCTCATTGACAACTCCTGTCCCTTAAATTCTCAGCCAGTGGGCTGGTCCTTTTTAAAAACAATATTCCCCAGAGCACTCAGGATCCTGTATCAAGTGAACATGTCTTAAGTTGATGAAGTTTCCAGACAAGGGGAAAGATTAGGAGTTTCTCCTCCTCTAGTTGTACAGTAAAGATTGTGCTTGTATTTCCATTCTAAAGGTACAGGTTGGACCTCTCTTGTCCGGCAGCCTCGGGACCTGACCGGTCCCAGAAGAGGGGCTATGCTAGACAACCGGAGGTCTCCTGACAACAGCCCCTCCCTGCTGCTGGCTCCTTCAGCCAAGCTGGGCTGTCTTGCAGGCCAGCCCCAGCCCTGGCCAGCCGGGCAGCTCCAGCCTCACTGTCGGACTGCACATTGTCTGATTCAGCTGCCACAGCCCCAGTCCCACTGCTGCGTGGCACGTGGCCCTGGCTGCACTGATTCTGTCAAGCTGCTGCGGCCGACTTCTCCTTCCAGGCTGCTGCAGCCACAGTCCCCACTCCATTGCCAGGTGACAGGCAGCCCCAATCACACTGCCACTTCCAGCTCCCGGGCTGCTGCAACCCCGCTGCTTTCCAGGCTGATGCAGCCCAGCTAGACTTCCCTGCTTGGGCTGCTGTGGTCCCGGGCCATGCTGCCAGGTGGCAGACAGTCCCGATCACACTCCGCCCAGGCTGCTGTAGCCCCGCTGCAAGCAGACTCGCCCTCTTGCCCCAGGTCTCGCTCATTCAGGAACATCTGTGGTCCAGCATGACGAGAGAATCCTGGATTTGTGAGGTGCAACCTGTACTTGCTATGCCAGAGGCCACCCTCAAGACTGATTTACCAAATTAAAGATTGCTTTAGCAGTTTGTAAATACCAAAAGCACTAAAACGTGCCTTTTACCTGTGATGGGTACTTGAACGTTCTGAAACTCAAAACTAGAATTTGGTTGGCAATTGGCTTACATGTTCCTGCTTTTTGATAAAGGAAATTAAGAGGAAAAAAATGTGACTATTAGTCATATGAAGCAATTACTTTTCTCAGGGCTTTTAATCTGTGGCAGTAGAGTGTCAACTTGTGAGAAGTGGTTTCAATTTCTGGGATAAATACATATTTTATAATCTTGCATAAGGTTTTTTCTAAAGGAAATTAAATATTAAACGATTTTAAGTACTTAAAGGGCTATTTATATGTTAAGTTAATGACACCAACTAAGAAAAGCCAGGGAATTTACGCAGGTTTTTTTCATTTAATAAATAGAATGTGTTTTCCACTATTTTGTTTATTATGTCTGGTTTATATGTACTTGTCAATTTTGGGTTTATTTTGACTTTGTTTTGCAGATGTGCACAATAAGTCAATATATATCTGTTCTCCATTGTGGCCTGGAGAAATATTAAATGACATTTATTGCTGGGGTATTTTGCCATTCAGTCAAGTTTGTTCCCTTCAGTTAAAACTTATACTTGAAGTTTGGATTAGAATTGACAGCAAAAGACTAAAGCAAATTGATACCTTAAGACAGTGTTTCCCAAATAGTACTCCGCGGAACCCCAGGGTTCCGCGAAGTGAAAGTAAGGGTTCCGTGAAAACCTGATCACTCCTCTCCCCTCTCCGCCCAGCCAGTCTTAGGGGTGGGTGAGCTGGGTGGTCGCCTGGGGCCACCATTTTCAAGGGGCCACTGGCAGC